TTCAATGACGTGGGGACCCCCCACGAAGCCCATATCCGAACTTGACCTTGGTATTGTCAATGGTAACTTGCCAACTAAAAAAACATGAACATCCATTTAAAGATTCTCGAGTTATCTTGATGACAAGAAAAAACACAAGAAACAAAGGTCAACTGCAGTGACATAGAAACCCCCACGGGGCCCATCTTTGAACTTGACCTCGGCATTTTCAACGGTAACTTGCCCACTAAAAATAATAAACATCCATTTAAGGATTCTCGAGATATCTTGATGACAAGGAAAAAACACCAAAAACCAAGGTCAACTACAGTGACTTAGGAACCCCCCACGAATCCCATTTTTTGCCTGGACAATGGCCACCCCTAAATCAACCTGCCTGCCAAAAATCGTGAACCTCGGACCTTGCCTTCAAGAGTTATCGTGCCTAATCTGCCAAACAGTGCAAACCCGATTTCATAACCTTCTCCGAAGGCATAGCCTTCAGTCGAAGGCAAATAGCATCAGATGAAGTCTGTTTATGTCAAAAATATTCAAAATATTAAGTTTTGTAAACAAAGGTGCAGAATGTGCATGGAAACTGGCGCCGGTGGCTGAACGAACAAATCTTTTTTGGAGTAATACTAGGGGCTGTAGTGTGGTTTTGTAGGGGCATCCCCAGACTATATTCCCGTAGGTTAGATATGGGTATATTATATATTACGCTATTGTATATGGTAATAATGGTTTTTTGAGTAAGAAGATGTTTAATTTTTCCAATAATACCGATAGTTTTTGAAATTTTTTTACCTAACATAGTTATATGTGGTTTCCAGGTCAATCGTTCATCAATGATTATACCTAAGAATTTGGCTTGACTCTCTTGAGAAAGGGTCACATTTTTTAAAAAGATTTTGGCGCTTCTATTGTAGGGTTTATTTCTATTACAGAAAATAAGGTAGTATGTCTTCTTAACATTGACTGATAATTTATTTGCCTCAAACCACGATATAACCTTTTTCAATTCTTCGTTAGCCAGGTTTACTAGCGTATCAAAATTCGAGTTTGAAAGAAAAAGATTTGAATCATCTGCAAATAGGATA